AAATGTCTGCAATTCTGGTCATGTGAGCATCTGCATTCAGTTGTCCAGGATTTTAATGAGGTGCCATAGAACATCAGCTTTGAAATTCATGTGGCTGTTCTTTTGGCTTAAAACAAGTTTTAGGATGGTTAATACTATGTTCACATTGAGATTTTAGTTTCTAGTTTCATGGAAAGAAAAAATAAGCAGAAAAAATATCCCATGCATTGGAGAGGATCAGAAGGACACCTGGAAATGAAAGAAACAGTTTACAAGTGTGGAACTCATAGGGTGCACAGGAAGGTTAGCCAGGAGAGACAGGGAATGGGATGTTGGAATTTCAAACCCAGAGATTTTGCTGCTGGTCTTGGGCTCATGGAAACCACTGACTGCCCCATTTCATCCCCAGTAAGGAGCAGATGAAAGCTGAAGTGAGTTTTTTAAAATCTTTTTCCTTTGAAAATCAAACTGAGCCAATCGTACCTCTCTGACAGAACAAATGCTCTCTGTTTTGGGGCTCCCTTATTAGGGCATGTAGTTCGTTTTTGGTCTCAGTCCAGCTCTGGCTGGGGCTCAGTGTCTGAAGAAGGGGTGCCTGTGCACTGACACCTTGCTCAGAGAAGTACTGTGTCGACTCAGGAGCATAGCACTGCCATTTAGGGACCCCATGCAGCCCAAAGACAGCAGCTCCCTTCCAGAAAACTGAAATCCTTTGAGGGCCACTGCTCAGATTTCTGGCCATAAACATAAGGCTGCTCTCGGAGCACGAACTGGCAGGTTGTCCAGTGTCTTGGGCTTATATTTAGTTCTCCTTCACCAGAAGAGAGCAATTCCGTATGTGAATCCTACTTTGTACATTAGTTCACTCTGTGGCTACAGTCAAGAAACACAGCTTTTCCCCGTCAGTTTTCTTCCTTCCCAAATCTCACCCCTATTTTTTGCAAATGATATAATGCTCCTCTCCTACTCATAGAGGAGTTCAGAAGACCCTGTGAAATCAGTCAGCACAGAGAGTCTCATCCTCTGTGCACAGCCCTTTCTCTGACCCATTAGCTGTTCTCAATGTCTAGGGGTGCAGGGAGGTCCTAGACCCAGCTCTGACACTGTTTGCTGAGGAACCATCATCTCTCTTGGCTTGTCCTTCTCCCAGCAGCAGTCTGTACAATTCAATCTCAGTGTGTGATGCTCCCGCAGATATGCCAGGGACAATCAGAAGCCTCTATTCAGATATTCATGATCAGGTAGGGATACTTTATAATACACCTTAGAAAATGCCTTTCTATACCTTCCCCATCCCATTGGGAACTGGGTTGTCATGAGCTGGGAGAGGAGCTAAGTGCATGCAGCCAGGACAGCCATATCGTCTCTTCCCACTAAATGCAAAGACCAGCCTGACTGTGGAGACATTTGAATAACATTTTTGCTCTGTGCCAGATTGCAAGCTGCATGTCATGCTGTCAAAGCTAGCAATCAGCCTGATTGTTACAGACTTGACAAACGTGCTTATTTTTAGAACTGCTAGATATTACACATTGCACTAGATTTCTCTTTCATGTTAAAGACTTTAATCTTCTCTAGAGTTTCTTATTGGACATCTGCCCGGAATATAAAGACTGATCTTTCTTTTTTCCCCCCGTATTTGATAGAGTGTCAGAGCCTCACTGAAAGGTGTAGATGGCAGTCAAAGGATCTCAGCTGAAGTCATGCCTTTCCCACCTCTCATCCAAATTATACGTAGGGGTTATTGGCAGTATGTTGAAATAACTTTACCTTGGGATAATAGCCTTTTGCTTATCTCCCATCTATCTGTCACACTGTCTAACTTCTGTATTAACAGAGTCTACCTTTGGGCAGCTCACACAGTAAAGTAGCTGTCATTCTGTCCTCACTCCTGGGTATTTAATGTAAACTGAACTAAAGTATGTTGAAGATGTACCAGCAAAGACAGTCATTTTTCCATCTCTTTCCCCACAAAGTGAGAGTTAGCCAAAAGAGCGGCCCTGCAGCACTCCAGATGTGAAGTAGTACGGTACGTATCATTACAGGAGAAGCAGTTTCTGCCTGAGGGGTCTATTAGTAATTTTGACAGCAGAGGCACTCTAATCCTATGCAGGAGAGAACAAGGCTAAAATAAGCTGGGATCGAGTGAGTTCCCAAAATTAAGCCCCAGCTAAACGTCCTGGTACTGCCATTAGACTGAAGATTTCTACAGATTATATTCCTGAGTGTAGAACTCAATATTGCCTGGCTGTGATGGCCCAAATAAAGAGAGTTGAAAAGATGGAAAAAGTTCACTTAAATGGCTCATTTCTTTCATCCCAAAAGTAATACCGGATGACAAATGGGCTGCAGGGACAATGTACTCTGAGAAGCTCACAGGGGGTGTGCGAGCCCCTCCTTGACCAGCACTCTGCTCCTCTCTGCAGGAGTGCCATCCAAATGCAACACAAGAGGAGGCAGAAAGAAGCTGACACTACAAAACCTGACTGTTTTGCACCGTTGTTAACTGCTTCTGGCCCTCCTACCTGGGCTCACCTCTCCTTTGTATTGTGCCACAAGGTAGATTTCTCTTTCCTGCAAGTTTTTTGTGTTTTTATTTTTTAAATGTATTTTAAAAGATAAATGGTTCATGTAAGAATAAGCCTACGTACTTATCATTATCTTCCATATACTATTTTCACTCCGTAGATTCCCGCATTACTTCTGCTTTCATATTTTTCTAAACTTCATTCACTTGCTTGTCTATTTTTTGCTTCATGCCTTCATCTGATAGGGGTGAGAATGTAGGCTTTTGATGTCTCTTTATTCATTTTAATTTTAGAAAGGGGATAGGTACAAGAAGGCTGTGTAATTTCAGTGAAAATATAGACCCATCATGTTCAGGGGTGCTTAAAAGTCAAAACATCAGGCAAAAGCTATCAAACATGGACTTGTGTGGGCCATGCACTCCTCAAGCTGCATGCATTTAATCGTATTTGAAACTCACTGTGACTGTGTCTGTCCCTCCTGCCATTATTGCCAAGGCTGAGGATCCATTGCAAGAGCCTAGTCTGCTAATCCAGCTGATCCAGCTGGTGACATAAGCTGCTTAAGGATATGCTCGGCAGCCAGGCTCCATGCAGAACAAGTATCTGTGCTTTGCCTCATGAGTAAGTGTGAGAAAAGGTAGGAGAGCCACAAACAACAGGGAACTGGCCTGGGGCAGTTCAGCTTGTTAGCAGAGAGAGGGGAGCAGCCTTGAAACAGATGTAACCAACACCCTTAATCTGTAATCACTGTACAGTTCTCATGTCAGGAGAGTCTGGGCAATACGAGGATCTCAACTGCTGTCAACATCCAGTCCATGAGAAAACAGAAGATGTGGCAAACCTCCAAACATAGCTTGGCTTGAAGGTCCAGTGAGTGTGTGCTATGCTGGAGAGACACTTGTTTTCCAGCTACTGATCTCAGCGCTCTTTTTTTTTTCCTTTGACAGATGGGGATTAGTGTAGATAGCCAATATGCTTAATCTCTAGAGAGCAGGAAACATTTTATGCCACTCAACAGGAGACTTTACAGATGCTAGGGGTCAAATTCAGAATGATATCTGGAAACCTAAATCCTTTAGTGGCGTTTGGCTTCCCTCTGGCCTGGGTGGAAATTTAGCCACGGAAGAGTTGCACCATAAATACCTTTGGAAAACGGAGCTTAGGCAGATAACATTTAAGCAATTTCCTGAGGAGTTACTCCTTGAGATGTCCCCAGTTTTGAAGGATGCCTACTTTGGTTATTGAGCATCAGAACAGATTATAAAAATATTTATTTACATAATGAATACTGCAGGTAGCAAGAAGCTTACCTGCTGCAGAAGAAGTGCTGATAGGCTTGTGATTTTAAGCAGAACATCAGCCTTTGCCCCTTAGCTGCATAGCTGGAAAGGTGGTTAGTGAGTAATGTACCTGCAGCCACAGGCCTTGAGAGTCTAATGTCCCATCCATTCTGTTTAGTTGGAGTGGTATTGGAAAAACAGAATTTTACACCAGACCTGTCAATATTTCCACAGAGCTGGCATTCTTCCACATTTATTAGTGCAGTGCCTCTCTCATAGGCTACAGGCATTACTCTAAAATATTTGCTACGTCATCTTGCCTGCAGGAAAATATGAGAGATGGATTCCACTTTGAAATGAGGATGTTCAGTATGTGTCAAAACATGTTGCCTATTTTATTAATTCCTTCCCATAAGCATTTCAACTAGTCTGGTTTAAATTAAAATTCAAGAGTGAAACAGCTTAGAATAAGGCATAGCCAATACCTGCAAGAACACAGTTCCTTTAAGGCCTTGCAGTCAGCTCCATTAACATTCCAGTTTTATTGCATGTACCTGGTCTGAAGAGAGTCAGTAGCCACTGGGCGTAGCATAAATTGTTGGCCTTCAGCAAAATGAACAGCTGAAATGCACACAGTACCTGACCATGCTTGTTAGGCTATTTGCTCATTTAATCACAGGCTGTGCTAGTGAATGCCTTCCATTCAATTATCTTCAAAACCTTCATCGTGTCACTAGACAATAAAATGTGACAAGACGGGTATTACTGTGCTATGGTCATCTGACATCAAGAAATGTCTAATTATTCCCTTCAGTGATTAGCTATGATTACTGCTTTAACCTGTGTATTTAAGGACATAACTAAGTGTTTCAAATATTCATCACAGAATACTTTATAAGGCGAAGAGTTGTTCATGGAGGAAGGATGAGCAGTTCCCTGCAGACTGTCCCCAGAGCAGCAGCAACCTGGTTGCTTCCAAAAAAGTTCTGACCCCCAGAATGCCCCTAAGACACAGCAGTCACTAGCCTAAGGGCAAGCCACGCATCTTGTCTGCACTGATAGCAAATGATACCAGAGCTTTAGGAAGGATCTACATATTCAACACCCACTTTGGGTCATTTTTTCTTGCCCTAAACCACTCCAGTTAGGGCTGACTGGGAGAGCTGGAGGCCAGACATTCATCTGAAGCATTCAAAACAAGTGATGTCACAGAGGCCACTGCATTATTCCAGTATCTCCAGACTACACTGGCCCCAAAGAAGCACTGTTAGCCCTCTCTGGTAACACTGACAAGCCTCACCCAAGGTTACTGCATACACTTTCTGTATTTCATTTGAGAATTGTACACAAATTTAAGATTAGGACATTGTATTGGTTAAGCTGATGCAGTCCTAACTCATCAAAGCCACTTCAACCAATACAGGACAAGGACAGACTTTTCTTACTGGCATCTGAAAACAGCAAGTTGCAAGAGTAAGAACCAATAAAAGGTTGCACAGTGCCACACTCCTCAAATGTGGGTAAGTCATGGAAATTCTTGAATTCAAATTCTGCTTCATTCAAGCCTTACCTTCACAATAAGCAATGGGCAGTGGAGGCTTCCATCCAGGAGGGGAGACTCTTACAGGCAAGGAATAGCTGAGAGGCAGGAGTGATGTTGTGTAATAGGAAGGCTGATTGTCAAGGAGAGGGCATGACAGACCCATGGACTGACACTTTCAGTAGATCTAAATTACATCCAGGGTCAAACTAATGCTGTCTCCTTCCTTTTTGCCCTACTCAACATAAGTCAGACTCTGATGAAGTGGAAAATTTATCCTGATCTTTAAGTTCAAAGTCAAGACACACATTTCACAGTGGTGCTGCAGTAGGGGGAATTAATACCCGCATAAAGTAGTAAAACAAGAACAGCCAGCCTTTCACTGGGGGAAACTGGCAGTTTCAAAGGCACATTGCCAGTCAAAATCTCTCTCCCACTGCGGCTGAGAGTGGCTTCTCAATTTGGTCTGCCTTCCATATCGCCTTCAATGTGACGAGCTAACAACCACAGCTGGCACTGCTGCTGGCAAAGTCAACAGTTGCCTCCGGCAGATGACGGGTAGAAACAGCAAAATAGCCCTGCTTTACCTACAGCAGAGCCCTGGAAATTCAAGTTGGGGAATGTGGCAGATGTCCCACCCTAGCGCTACAGGAGGGACAGGTCTGGCTCTCCAGGACTCTCCTCTATTCCAGCCCTTCCTTTGCCCTTCTCATCCAGCCCTGGGATGAGCCCAGTCCTCTCATGTCACGGCTGCAAAATACAGTTCTGCCAACACTGCTGAGAGGCTTCAAGCTGGACCCACAGACAATGAAGCTCTTTGCGAGAGAATGAGTTGCCAATTTTGTTTCATGTGGCACAATGAAACATTTAAATAAAATCCTGATTAAGACAGGAAGACACAGACTTGATTCACAGCAGGGAAAGCTGAAAACTGCTTACTACATGCCGTTAAATTACCAATTTCTACCATTTTATTTTTAAAGCAGATTGCTGTTTCTCTGAACTGGGAACAACATGGTATGCACATCATTTTGGATAATGTGTATGCAAGGTCACTTTGTCAATTTGATGATATTGAGTCCAAAGTAAGAAACTCAGGAGCCTTTTTCCTATCCAGTTTAGAAGTACTTTTTGATATGTAGACCTCAGCAACCCTATGTAAGGAAAAGATCTGTCCTGAAATGTGCAGACTGTAAAGTGAATCAGTCCAACTCCACTGTAAGGACCAGAGGGAATCATTCAGCTTCCGCCAGTCATCCTTCTGTGCCAGGAATGTAGCAATGAGGTGAAAGAAACTTTGTAGTTCTCCCTCCTATTCCTTTCATTTAAGTCACAGAGCACAATTTGTATGTGCAGATCATTACCTTCCATCTCAGCTGCAGAGGACTTGTTACACGTATCAGGCACAGCTAGCAAAAGTTTAATGAGGAACACATTAAGAACAATGCACCAAAACATTAATTGAATGCTAACTGAGAATAATTTGTTGACATTATTTCTTCCTAAATCTTATCTAACTTATCAGCTTTTCCATTACCTGGCTGTATTTATGCTCACGTGTGTCTGTGTAGCTGATCTCTTCAGACCATTTCCATTTCCTATTGGAATAAGCATGAGCAATACTGAAGCAAATGCACTTCATACAGATTGAGGTATGTAGAGACAGGAATGCAAGAACATGCAAAATAACTATAAATAGAGCCTGATCATGAGTTTTAAGATGCAATTACTGGGATTCATATTTGCTAGTCCTTGGAGGTATTTTCTCAGATCTTCCTCAGAAATCTTTTATCTCCCATCAGCTAAGCCAGCTGTGAGTTTGCAGCACTGTCTGCATGCATATCTAGTCCTTTCTTTACTGTCTGCCTTCAGCTGTGGCAGAAAGACATAGAAAATGTTGCAACACCTACCTTTTGTGTTCATCTGCAGACAAGAGGAATATGTCATATATACTAACCACTATAACTGTTGTGTTTGTTTTCAGTGCCCAGGCAGAGAATAAGTGGTGTTGATTTTTAGGTATCTGTAATTTTAGATGACGGTGCAGTGCACAGTGCAGATGAGTTTGTATTGCTGCAAAAGTGAGCGCCCAGACATTTTAGAACATCCCTTTGAAACTCATCCCTCACTTCTATGCTGATGAAGCCTTATAGTTGTAGCTGCACCCCATAGTAACAATTTTTTGGTGAAACCATCTTCCCTCAGCAATGCCATGTTTTAAGGAATCCAGCTGAGTTAATGACATTCCCTTCTTCTGCAGTTACAAGGGGGCACTGATAGCCCACAGTCACCACACTGCTGCAATTCCACTCCAGGCTGTGATGGAGAACAGTCAGGCCTGGCAGCTGCCACTACAGAAGGCTTTCATGTTGGAATCATGTTAGATCTTTCAGTTGTTTTAGACCTAGAGTTGCCTAAGCAGCACTGATAACAAGCTGAAGAAATCTAAAGCATGCAAATGAAGAAGTGCTATGCTGAAACTGCTTGCTCTTATCAGATATTTTTTTCTGGGCTTAGGAGGCTATCTGTATGTCCCTTCTCTAGTGCCTGCTTTTGTTACACCTCATCTTCTTTATGTCCAAGCAATCTTACATAGTTGTTGGTGCAGAATGCCATTTATCCTGTACCAGTAATGCTCAGGTATGCTCATGGAGCAGGGTATCCGTCTCTCCTTAGAAAACCTTCTCTCCTCACCAAAATGCCCTCTTGTGAGACAAACAAACAGATAGAGGGATGAGAACAAAAGGTCCTAGGAATGCAGAAAGGATGAGGCAAAGAAGAGGGGTGAACTTGTTGGTGCATTAGTCTATTAACTCAGATGCCAATAGAGCTATGCAAAACCTCGAGGTCCTACCAGACAACAGGATGCAATGTTAATGAAAGAAGTTGTTTTCAACTGGCTGCACTGAGGCTTCTTCTCTTCACCCTAAGTATCACTATAGCAGCAGCAGTGGAGAAGTGTAGATTATTTCAACTTCAGATATATAGCTTCTGTGGCCAATTCCTTTACACGACTTGTGCTCACTGTACCCGGACTTTCTATATGGTCACCTAAGTCTCCTTGTCAAGCCTGAGCACACTTAGTTTCCAAAGCAGGCAAGAATAAGATTCATTCAACTTGTTGTGGGTGAGGCTTACTGAATTTGTTATTGCAGCAGTCCTTCAGTGAGACCTGCAGCTCTCAGTGACTCCCAGCGATGGACTCAGCTTACATGACACTACTGAGACCTGCATTGCAATAATAAGCCATTGAAGTGATTGTTCATTATACATAATTAAGATGTTGGTTAACCATGACATCCAGAATGAACGCTAGAGCAAAGACACTATGCTAAATCTGGAGCAGTATTCCAACCCATCAAGATATCAGTGTGATTGACAGATCAGATAATCTCTTTAGTAATCCTCTGAATTCTAAACACAGACACCCATAACTCAATGGCAGATAAGAACATGCTGTGGTTATACTCTACCACAGCGGAGAACAGAGTTTCGGTTGACTGGCTTTGTTCACTCACTGTTGGCACAAGGCTGTTTGAGCATCTCTGTGTAAAAATAAAGTTTAACTGTAACTTTATTATGGTCTGGCATGTTCATTAATATCAGTGAAAAATTCTTGCAGAGATTCTGCTTTTAATTTTTTTGTAAGGCGGTAATGATGTAATAAAGATTAATTAGTGTAAGTTATAGTGTCTGAAATGTATACCTTCAAGCTGTTAAATGTGCCAGTGGAGATCCATTATGACAGCAACGGGCATATTATTCTCAATAGGGATTGCTCTATTTGCCAGTGTGAGATGTGTGCTTGTTATTAAGACAAAACCAGTGAGGGGAGCTCAGATTTAAAGGCAGCTAAAATAAGAGCCTTGCTTTTACACAGCATGATAAGCCTTGATTTTGTAAACACTATTACTTTGCTTTCATTACATATTCCTGCTGGTATTATTTCAGGGCATCAGCTATTTTATAGGCTTTTATTTGTCATCATACAAAATCAGGCCAACAGAGCATGCTTAGCGCTTTGCAGCTAAAACAAAAACAAACAAACAAACAAATAAATAAAAACCCATACACCTTGATTTATGAAATATAAATTCTTGAATTTGAAATAGGATCTAGGTCCAGATGGCCCATCAGATGGAAAAGATTATTTCTACAACTACCAAGTTACAACAGCCAGTTGCATACAAGGCTAACAACACATCTATATGCTTGGGCACTCCGTGGCCCAGTCAAGCAGGCATCCACTCACCTCTGGATTACTGTAGCACAAGTCCATCTGTGTCTATGAACCTAAATTGACAACAGAGCTGTATTCCTACCACCTTTCTATTCAACATCTCTTTTACTCATTAGAGGATTGAAATTGATTTTAAATCCCTTATCAACATATTTTTTAAATAACGATGAAATGCAGCAGTAGGATATTTGCTAGAAAACTTACTATTTAGATGTTGTGAACACCAATGGGAAACACATTTCTCAAAATACCTTGGATGACAGTTAAAAAAGTTCAGTGCTTGAATTGGTTTCCAAATAGGCTGAAAACTGCATGGGGATGATGAGTCCCTTCAAGTCTGAGAGGTGCACATCTGCAGGCATTGACAAATTCTCCACGACCACCAGGCTCCAGTGGAACCAACCACATGACAAACACAGCTCTTCTCCACATCCCACATTGTCGTGTGGAAGGGTTATCATTTGTTTGTGTTTCTCAAAGGGATATTTTCCAATGCATACCCAGTAGTTGTTTCCCAACATTGTGTTTTGCAAACATGAGGTTTTATCCACAATTTTCCTGTGCACAACCTTCCTGCAATTTTGTGGGACTACAGCTTGGCTAGGACATTGGCCTTCATGGAAGAACATTCAGGCATCAAGATTAGCCTTCCTTCTCTCAGTTTTCAGTTTTGTTTGTTTGCTTGCTTCTTTCCAAGTTGTAGTTCGAAAACAAAACCCTCATTTTCTCGCTCTTCTGTGACTTAAAGTTGAATCAAAGAATTTTCCTCAAACTTTCAGAAGAAAAAAAAGGTCTTTTGTGAGGAGCATCAAAGCTTTCAGCTCTAGAGAAGTTTGGGAGGAATTTACAAGAACTTGAAACAGTAGAGAAAAAGAGTGCCACTAGTGACTTTCCCAGCTCTGGAAGAAATGTGGTTCCTGCCCCTTTTCATCCCACTTTGCGGAGCCTGGGCCTCCACTGAAATCAAATGTCAGCTTTTTTCAGAGTAGAGCTCAAGACCAGATCTTCCCTACAATTTCTGCTGGCTTCCTGTTGTCTCATTCAAGCTCACTTCACAGCATATACAGGACCACAATACAAGGGAAGGAAAGCAGAGATGGGAACGTGAGGAAAGGAAAGAACTCCCCTTTCCCTTCTAAGTGAATGCCCATGATGAATCTCCAGCCCATGGATGCTCACCTCATCTGCTCTCTATTGGACAACTCCTAGCTGAAGAGGACTCTTCAAGAAACCTGGGGGATCCACAGAACATGGACTCTGAAGTCCTTTTCTTGTAGCCACGTTGTCTCAAGTCTTGGATTATCTGCTACTTGAGAACTCAGCAGGTCCTGAAGCACAACAGCTTTTCATAGCTAGACTCTGATTCTAAAAACCCAAAGTAACGCCTGTGCTTACATATACATATGTAGGAAGGACCTATTGTTACTGCAATATGGCGAGTCCTCGATCTTCAGCTACAGCTGCTAGTGGTAAGTGTTGTACCGCGGATTAGGAAGGCCACTCAAGTGCCACTCTTTGGTTTGCCCTTCAGTACCAGAACAACAGGAATTACTTCTGTGGTGCTGATTGGCATCCCATCTGTGGAAGTGCTAAACAAAAAAACAAATATCCTCTCCTTCATATATTTAGATTCAAAATTAAGACCAAACTATCGTAAGATTTCTTACCTTACAATCTGAAGTCTGGGACTCAGCACATCTGAACTACAGCCCATATTACTTTCCATATATAAATCATTCCTAGAGTTCAAAACATGTTTGTTTGCTTCATGTAAATCCAGGAAGATGCATGTATGAACATGTATTTACTGAAGATCACATCTGTGCTTTGATGTATCTGTAATTAGATGCACAGTTTCTCAGGCTGTTACAGAAGATCTGCATCTAGCTATGACCCACTTAAATATTCCAGCCATGTAATTTCTTTTCCTTTTTTTTAATTTAACCTTATCATTGCCACGATTTGGAACTATGTATTTTTAAAAATACCTGAATTATGTGCATTTTACTGTGAATGAACCTATTCATACACCTCAAGTAATCTAATGACTGTAGAGATTATAATCATGAGAGAAATTGAATTCCCAATTAATGTTTTCAAAGTTCTATTGAAGAATTTTTCCATTGATTACACTTACCATTGATTGAATGAGATTTTAATCAGTTCAGTTGTTTTTTAGGAGGCTTAAACACCAAAAAATTCCCATCCCATGTAAGAATATTTGCATTAGAAAGACCCTTAAACAGATGAACCTTAAAATTCCATCTTAATTTACCTTTCTTTGCTATCTCCACTGGAAAGATTTAAAAGCAAGTATCTTCTTGTTTGAAGATACTCTGCACCATAATTTTAAGCACATAGGCATATCTATTTCTTATTAATAAGCATCATAAAATTTTAAAATTTAATCTCTGGGATTGCCATAAAGTTCAGCTAGTGGAAATGTGGTACTTGCCTGAGTTCTTATGCATTGAGCAAGCATGGAAATGAACTAGAAAAAAATAAAAGCTAATTACTTATCAAAATTAAAACTCGTATGCTTAATTTCACTACATAACAAATAAGCTTTGTGAAGTACTATCAATTTGTACATTTTATGTGCTTACAGTATTTTCCTTCATTGTTTTTTTTCTGGAGAAACTGAAGCCTTATATGAGGGCTGCACTGAAAGCAGTATCTCCTATTTCATTATGTCAGCAGACGACGTCAGAGGTGGATGTTGGTGGTTTGGTATTATATGCTGAACCTTCCCACTGATATTCTGCCATGTGTTGGCCGTGTGGCAGATGGCAGCAGACGGGCAGTCTGACAGAATGGTGTCTGACATGGACATGAGTGTGGAGCAAAGGTGTGACATTTAATTCCTTCACTTGCAAAAGGTTGCACCCATGGACATTCATCTAAAGGAGAGTTTCAGTGGGACAGCACACATACATGCAAGTGTGCTTCATTAAAAACAATGAAGAATCAAGTCTCAATCCAAATGAAAACTGAGCTGTAAGTCAGTCGTATCTGGCCTGTAGAGTATAAGATCACAGTTTGTGGTATGAGTTGATATGGTCCAAAGCCACAGTACTTCTCTGACTTTTACATGATGGCTAAGAGAACAGTCAAGTCAAAAATTCCACCCCAGCAGGGAGCATTCACTTTCTCTCAGTCTCATGTGTAGCATGAACAGGCTTACAAAAATATGTGTAATTGGAGACCTGGAAATTCAAACTTCAGTAAAGGGCCATTGTCAAAACACAGTAAGTTCATCTTCAGGTCCAATACCTTACATGGTTCTTTTGCACAGAAAAATATCTTTGTTCAGTAATCACAGTGCAAAAATCTTCCTACAAGAGTCTTGAATAAGATGAGCTAATGTTCTGTCTTTTAGTCTTTTTAACACTTTGAGTCCATGAGCTGCTATTTGCTGTCAGCTCCAGAATCCTGCAATATTGTGAGTTCATCCTAGTGTCCAGCACCAGGCAGGGGATGAACTTTGCTTCCTTGGCATTGCAGTGCTGTACCTGAGGACAAAAAGTATAACACCTGTAAGTGTTTTGATAAATCAGATCCTCCAATGATTATTTTTTATTAAAAATCAGATGAATTTGTGTAGCGTGAGAGATAAATTATCGGAGAAATTGTGAAATATAGAAAAGATTCAGGACACAGGGTCTGGCAATTTCTTTAAAATTTCACACAAGCTGAGATGACAAACAGATGGTACAGTTAGGAAAATCTAGAAGGCAAAATATAGCCCCTGTGTCACTTTAATGATGCCTCTGCTTATCACAGCCTATATTTTAGATCAACTTATAAGGTATTTTTCTAAATCATAGAACTCTCTTGAGCTCTATTTGCTAAAGACAAACTGGCCTGCGAAGATGCATCAGTCAAGCAAAAGATTAATTCCTGTTGTACCAAGTTGTTGTTTTTGGCACAGAAGTCAATATTTATAAGACAGAAAGCAGCTGTAGAGTGCAAGTTAGCATAGTGCATAAATCTTTGCAGCAGGTTATAGCAAGATTATGATACTATCCACAGGTAATACGATGGAAGTGCTGCCACAACAGAGCTTTCCTAATGGTGGCCATCCATTTACCAGTGTGAGCTGAGCTAATGAGGTCACGTTGAATCACTTTGTGTTGTTTCCCCTTTGGAAGCAATCAGCCCACATATAAACCAGTCATATATTAGGAGAGGTCACCAGCACAGCAGTTCTGCAAAGAGTGAGCTGTTTGTACAGGACTCCAAGCCAGATCCAGTTTTGCCTGGAGCAATAGGATGCGTGGCTGCTGACAATGAGGCCTGGGATGCAGATTA